CAACAGAGCCAGACCCCATCTCTAAATAAAGTCAAGTCTCCCTCTGGTTAGTACTATGCATTCAGTAGTAATTTTTCTTCTCTTTTCTTTTCCCTTTCCTTTTCTTTTGCTAGACAGCAAGTTTTGTAAGTATGAAGACAGTTTCGCTCTTACTTACCCTCTCCCCCTATCTCCAGCACCTTGTCTGGTGCCTGCCATGTGTTTGCTCTCTTTGAATGGGAGATGAAATCCTCTCACCTGGTCAGACTTCTTCTTGATCACAATTCTGAACCTGTCTTCCTCTCAGGACTAGTATTTTCAGACTACTTGAAATAATAATTGTAGATATTTTAGACATTTATTTTACTGGGTTTATCTTTAGCAATAAAAATATTACTTGTTTTTTAAGATCCAATTTAAGTCTCATCTCTTTCATCAAACTTCACTTGGTTAGTTTATAGTAATAACTCTTCCCTGGATATTTAATATTTTTTAAAATGTGTGTAACTTATTTGCTATTTATGTCTGGTATTATATCTTTTTATTCTTATTTAACTCATGCTTACTACACAGCACTTTGGCCATATGTTTTCTGTCTTCTAGTGTAACAAATGTAAATTAAATAGATATAGAGATAGAATAGTCAGAGGTATTTGTTTACTAGATGATTAGATCCAACCTAGTCATTTTAATTTGAACATAAATGTCCTATTTTTGTATTTTTTATAGTATCATCTCTTAGTTTTCTTAAGTTACAGTTTTATATAAGTTTTTAGAAGATGAGTTGATATACAATATCTTTTTCTTTATTTTGAGGGGAGGTTACTGATTTTTCTTGAAGCATTTCTTTAATTCTAATCTGGCATGAAAAATCAATTTTGAAAATGCCTCCTTTCATCAGGTTAGATCAGATTTTTTTTTTTTTTGAGGCGGAGCCTCAAGCTGTCCCCCTGGGCAGAGTGCCATGGCATCACTCACAGCAATCTCCAACTCCTGGGCTCAAGCGAGTCTCCTGCCTCCGCCTCCCAAGTAGCTGGGACCACAGGCGCCCGCCACAACGCCTGGCCATTTTTTTGGGTTGCAGCCGTAATTGTTGTTTGGCGGGCCTGGGCTGGGGATTCGAACCCGCCACCTTAGGTGTACGTGGCTAGAGCCTTAGCCACTTGAGCCACAGGCGCCGAGCCAGATCAGATTTTTTTTGTATATAGCCATGTATTAACATTTCAGTTTTCTCACCACAAAAGATCTTTATTTCCATGTTCTTTAGCTTCATTCCTAGACTATTTTGTTTTTAGGCTATTTATTCTCTCTCCTGTTTGTGTTTATTAAAACCCCCATATTTAAGGTAGCATCATTATACTGTTACCAAAGGGGAAGGATGAGGAAACGAAATGTCATGTATTCATTTGTTTTCCTTTAAATATCTTAAATATCGTGGAATTATTTGAGAAGCTAAACATTGAAAAAGAGGCAAAATACATTTTCTTATGCTGTAAGTAAAAAAAAAGTATTTAAAAATTACCTGTTTGTAAGTGTATCCTCATCAGCCAACCTTTAGTACTGTAAATGAAAATGTTCTCATTATGCACAGTTAAAGTACCATAATTCTTTTAATGTAAAATAAAATAATCCAAAATGACTTACTTTTTCCAGGTAAACTATGTCAATAAGATATTTTATTAGTTTTCTTATTCATTTAACAAATGAATCTCATCTTTGTGTAAAGCTCAGTTGCAGGTGTTTAAACAAGTAAAGAAATTTGGAGTTTACGGAGGGTAGCAGAGATACTACATACATACAATGCCCCATGCCCTCTATTACAAGTTAATTTGGCTTCTGTCGGAGTCTAAGGCAGAGGTTATATCCCAAAGTGATATATAAAGAAGGCTTCATGGGTGATGCATTTGAACTGGGCCTTGAAAGATGATAAATTTTTTGTCAAGCGTGGAAACTTCTGACTGTGAATAATCATTATTTTCAGTATTCAGGGAAGAGGGCACATCTTGAACAATGGTTTGGAGGTATAAAGTATAAGACTATGTCTACATAAAAAAATTATTGCCAGGAAAAACAGTTTAGCTGAACTGGTTTAGTTTATGGGGCATCTTAAATGATAAGCTAGTGCACGGGGACTTTTTTTATTTTTAATATTAGAATAGAGGAAGGGTTAGTTTGTTAACATATAAAGAAACAAGTACTTTCTCACTCCTTTAAAACTTACCCAATTAAAAATTATACAGTATAATCATGAACAACAGATTGTGAGCTTTTTACATGTTTCTAAAGTTAAGCTTTTCCAATATGATCTTCTAGCAGCTTTTATGACTTCAAAAATATTTTTAGTACAAAAAATAACTTTTTTCCCTCAAAATCAGCAGCATCAGATTCTTATAGTAGACCAAATAAGGTAGCATAGTGGCCTTTTTGCATCGATTCATGAGAGCTTAGTCTCTAAATATTAACTGGCTATGACATAGTTGCAGCGATTCCCAGTTGGTCACTTTCCTAGGAGCTTAGCAGTTTTCTTTCTTTTTATATAACAGTATGTAAACATCATTATATAAGAAGCATGCCAGTGTGAACTGAACAGCCCCTAATGTGTGGCACTGCAGTGTGCCATATGCCAGGGTTCATCAATCCTTAAACCATGCCACCATGCCAGTTTATTTATTTCAAAATTTTATTTTTATACCGGACTGTCAGAGCAAACAGATAACTCCTGACTGTGTTTTGGACAAAAGAATTTGACACTCTCTCAATAGTGGGTTCTTATAATCCACTTGTCTTTATATTTGTGTTTTTTGAAATATCAATTGAGGCTCGGCGCCTGTGGCTCAAGC